CTTTCTCAAATGTTTCTTTAACTGTTTTGTTTACTTAAGCATAGAAGGTTTGCCCTCCTCTAGTAATGTTACCTAGGCTGTTGCCCCAGAATTGACTCCTGCCCCTCCCTCAAATAGAAACCAATTACTCTTATCTAAGTTTCAGGAGGAAGCTGAAAGAGAGAAAGAAACAAGAACTCTTTAGAACCTACTAGGCACAAGATGGCGGAAGATTGCCCTCTAGTAGACCTTGAGCCTTGTTATATGCTCATTGTAATGCATTAGCATGCTCAATGACACACCCACCAGTGCTCTGACAGTTGATGACTGCCATGACAACAACCAGAAAAGCCCATACAAGGACTGAAAAAAAGAGTCCCATCAGTTTCAGGTCCAAACCACACCCCTGTTCTCTAATAACTCATGAATATTCCTTCCACTCTTTCCAATTCCCTCCCTTTTACCTAGATCAACCCTCCTATACATTTAATGTCTCCACCTGAATAGGGTTGAGAAGTTGACTTGTGAACTAGGTTCCTGCTTCTCCATTCTTTGGCCATTGAATAAAGCTTGTCCTATTTCAGTCTCAGCATGGGTTCAATATTGACTGCATGAAACCAAAGGCTAAAAGAACCTCCCTGGCTGAGACAGGGGATCTTGGCCAGGGCCAGGCCCCAGGTGCAGGTCTGTTCTACCAATTCAGTAACAGCAATGCCTTTACGAATATATCCAAGTCACTAAACTATTCTGAGGTTGTTTTTTAACTGATGAAGTTCTTGAACCCTCAGGCAATATCAACTACTCATCACTCTGCCTAGCCAATAGCAATTTTAAGATGTAGCCCAATTTTGAATAAAATATAATACCATGTGTATCTGAGATGCAGTGAAATATAACATTAGTCTTTTGGCAACAGCAATGTCATGGAGAAAAGTAGCCAGCAGCCAGTGATACTGCCAGATATTCAAACCCATTGTCTGCAGCAGCAACAGAAGAGAACTGCCTTTTATTAGCAATCGTGAGGCACTTCAGAAACCCATATGGAACAAAGGATATGCTCTGGAACGATCTGGGACTCTGATTTGGTTGATGGACATCAACCAAATATTTCACGTTTAACTGGCGTTACACCTAAACCCTTGAGTCCTTCAGGATGCAGCACTTTAGAGAAATACTATAACATTTTATTAAAGCATAGCTAGTGTTTATTGCTATTTCACATTTGCATATCACAGCAGTGTGACATTTTACTTCTGCTAATTATACTACTTCTTGAATAATTTGCAGTAATATTTTCTGCTACATTTGATATCTCTTATCTCTTATTTTATCCCGCCCCTGACAAATAGCTAAACAAAGCCTTAAATATTTATTTTCAAGTTATATTATCTTAATATTTCAATTACCCTTCCTTTTAGATTCTTTGGGGAAATTTGTTTTGTTGAATCTTGAAACAGTATAGCTCTTAATACATTATACAGGGAATTATAAACGTATAAATACCAAAAGGTAAAGTAATCTTTATAGACATTTTATAATGTGTTTCTTCTCAGGGAAGGTGATGGGGGTTGAGTATGAGACAAGAAAGAAAAATCATTTGGGGAAACTTATAAAATACTACCTTGCTTCCCATCCTGAGGGAATAATAATCAGCATGCCTAAAAGGAATGGCAAGCATTTATATTTCATATGTATATATATGGTCCAGATTTTTATCTTGCCCCCCTGGTTAGATCCTCTGTTGTGTTTTTTTGCTGTGTTCTGCCTAATAGGGGCACCTGAGTCATAAATGACATTGTCAGCTAGCTTCCATCTGACTCAGAACCCAGGTATAAAACTAAATGAGTTTCTTTAATTTGAGATCATTCAGAACTTTTAGGGTTTCAAATTAAACTAGTTTAAGAATTAAAAAAAAAACACAACAATTTACTAGAAGGCTACTGAGGGTTTACAGGGCAGAGAAAGAACTGTAGGATCAATGTCATCTTTGGGACTTTAGGAAGAGGAAACTTTTGTTTCCAGGATATTGCTTTTCCTTCCCTCTCTCTCCCTCTCTCTCCCCTTCTCTCCCTCTCTTCAACCTTTCATTTCCATCTGTTACTCATCTCTGTTTGTATTTTCTTCCATTAATTCTGTCCTTCTGTACTCAAGTTCTTTGCACATAATGAGGAATATCACAAATGGTGTAGCCTTATATTCACATCCTAGTTCTGTGACTTAAGAAGCAAGGGCTCTCCATTGAGTAAGAACAATCTTGGGAAATAACACTAATTGGCCAAGACTATGTCACATGCCTTTCCTGTATGAAATCCCATGGACAGGGATACTAATTGGCCAGGACTAAATCACGTCTTTCTCTGTGATCAGGGGTGTGTCATCTGTTACTGGTGAAATGGAGAAAAGAAGCATTTCAAACAGACGGAAGCAGTAGCTAACCCAGGAGTTTAGGAAGGCACTTAAAAGATTTGTTGAGAATAGCATAGTTCACAACTTAGAATAAGAAATTTATCTACTTCATTAGAGTTAACAGAATTATATAATTATATCTAAAACATTATGAGATTCTGCTAACAAGTTCTAATTTCTTTTTTCCTCTCCTTACTGATCTTATCTGATCCTGTTTTCAGCTTCTTTTTAGGCTGTTCCTTGGGGCTTATTTCCTCTCATTGCAAGATGGATTCTCTATCATTTTATGTGGCTCCACATAAAAGTGTGCTTTCTCTACACTGAGTGGTATCCAGTAACTAATTTCTAACTAGCATCCAGTGTCATTTTCCCCTATACCCTTAGTCACAGTCTCAAGAATGGAGACTTCTATCAGTCTCCCTATTTAGTGGGAATACTTCACCTGGTGTTCTAGTTTCCAGTCATCTATCACCATGAAAAAAAAGTATGAGTACAATGACAATGCCTGCCTGTCAATATAAACAGGACCATTTTCTCTCACTTGTCCATTGCCTGCACCTTCAGTAATGGCAGCTTGATGAACAGTATGCTTATTTACACAGCTTAGAGCACCAGCAAAATTTAGACTTAGTTTGAATATACCCTCTACCTTGAAAATGCTTGCTGCTCCATTCTCCCTTAACTTTTTATATTTTGTTTGTCTTCTCATTAATTCAATAGATTTTACCTTTCCTTAAATCCCCTTACCTCAAACTCCCTTCACCTTTTAAAAAGTGTAATTTACTGTATCTTATATTTACTTGTAATATTGTTTTACAGTTGGAGATCAGGTTACAAAGTTGCATGTATTTTAAGTGGTTTGTCCATAACTTTATCTTTCCAGCATGCCTTATTTCAGTGCACAATTTTACATAACACAAAATGTTCAAGAATGCATGTATCACGTTGTAGTAGAAATGACTGTATACATACACCCATATTACAGAAGCATTATTTAATCATATACAATCAAAGCAGGTAAACATCACAGTGTATTAACACAAGTAGAAATGGTAGAATACTGTTAGAAACTCGGTATATGAAGTTGAGCAAAGCGCTCAGCTTCTCCCATGAACACAACAAAACTACAACTATATGTAGAGCAAACCTCTCTGAGAACCTGAAGACTAGCAGAATGGCTCTTTTCCAACTAAGAATATAAAGAAAAAATACACTGAGATGGGTAGAGGGAAGAGAAGTGATCTAGTCAGGACACCCCCCCCCCAAGTGGTGACCCAAAAGAGGAAGGAAATATCACTAACAATGAGGCTCCCTTAAGGAGCAAAGGGTTCAAGACCCACATTGGGCACCTCAGCCCTGGAGTCCAGCACTGGAAGATAAGGCCCCTTAACTGGTTTTGAAAACCAGCATGTCTTACAATAGGTAGAACTGGAGGGCTGTAGGAAACAAAATGTGCTCTTCCAGTGTGAACCACAATCTTATTTGTTCCCAGTCCCAGTGCAGAGGCAGCAGATTGCCAACAGTGCCCCAGCATGCACCCCCAGTCTGCACTGGGCTCCAGCTCCAATCACCCCCCACCACATGCCAAAGCATCAGCCCTTGTGCACTCTGGGAAAAGCCATGGCCCATGCTGGGCTCTGGCTCCGGGCCTTCCCTCCTTCAAGGTGGCACTGCCTGCATCCACTGAGAGAAGCCCAGGCCTGTTCCGTGCTCCAGCTCTACCCCTTTTGGCTGCAGTCTTCCCCCACCCCACCCTTAAGGCAGCAGACACCAGCACACTCTGCAACAATCCTCAGCCCACACTCGTTTCAACTTCAGCCTTCCTGCCAAAGCCACTGGGCACACACAGACTGCAAAGGTGCACTCCTATACAAGGACACAACTTTAAAACTGGAAAAGGTAACTGTTTCACCTAATTTCATGGAGACAAACACAAAAAGTCAAACAAAATGAGAAGACAGTAGAATATGTTCCAAACAAAAAAATAAGAAAAAAACCCTAATGAAAAGAGGTAAGTAATTTACTGGATAAAGAGTTCAAACGGTCATTTTAAAAAAGCTCACCAAAATAGGGAAAACAATAAGGAAACACAGTGAGAATTTCAACAAAGAATCAGAGCACAGAAAAGGAACCACACAGATGGATACAATCACTGAAATGAAAAATACACTAGAGGAAATCAACAGATTAGATGCTAAAGAAAAATATATAAGGGGCCTGGAAGACAGAATAGTGAAAAACACCCAACCAAAAGAGCAAAAAGAGAAAAAAACAAATTAAAAAAGAGGATATTTAAGGAACCTTAGGAACTACATCAAATACACTAACATTTGCATTACAGAGGTCTCAGAAGGAGAAAAGAGAGCAAGAGAGGCAGAAAAAATATTTTATGGAATTATGGCTGAAAATCTCCCTAATCTGAAGACAGAAACAGATATCCAGGTACAGGAAACACAGAGTCCCAAACAAGATGAACCCAAACAGACCCACACCAAAAGATATCATCTTTAATATGACAAAACTTAAAGAGAATTTTAAAGGCAGCAAGAGAAAAAGAGTCACATACAAAGAACCCCCATAGTGGTATCAGCTGATTTTTCGGTAGAAATTTTAAGGCCAGAAAGGAGTGGCATGATATATTTAAAGTGCTGAAAGGGGAAAAAAAAAACTATAACCAAAGATATTCTACCTAACAAGGTTATCACTCAGAGTTGAAGGACAGGAAAAGTGTTCCCCAGACAAGCAGAACTAAAAGAGTGTATCACCAATAAACCAGACTTATAAGAAATGGGTATAAACTGGGAGATTGGGATTGACATATGTACACTAATATGTATAAAACAGATAACTAATAAGAACCTGCTGTATAAAAATAAATAAAATAAAATTCAAAAATTCAAAAAAAAAAAGAAATGGGTATAGAGGAAATATAATCCAGCAATTCTACTTGTTTATCTGAAAAAAAATGAAAAAAAAACAATTCAAAAAGATATATGTATCCCAATGCATATAGAAGAATTATCATTATTTTTTTTTACTTTTTAAAATTAGGATATAGTTGCTTTACAATGTTGTGTTAGTTTCTGCTATACAACAAAGTGAATCAGCTATAAGTACATATATATTCCCTCCCTCTTGGACCTCCCTCCCACCCGTCTAGGTTACCACAGAGCACCAAGCTGAGCTCCCTCTGCTATACAGCAGGTTTCCACTAGCTATCTATTTTACACATGGCAGTGCACATATGTCAATACCAATCTCCCAATTTATCCCAACCCTCCTTCCCCATGACACCAGGTCCACACATCTGTTATCTACATTTGTGTCTCTATTCCTGTCCTGAAAATAAGTTCATCTTTGCCATTTTTCTAGATTCCACATATATGTGTTAATATATGATATTTGTTTTTCTCTTTCTGACTTACTTTACTCTGTACGACAGACTCTAGCTCCATCCATGTCTCTACAAATGAGCCAATTTCTTTCCTTTTTATGGATGAGTAATATTCCATTGTTTATATGTACCACATCTTCTTTATCCATTCATCTGTCAATGGACATTTAGGTTGCTTCCATGTCCTGGCTATTGTAAATAGTGCTTCAATGAACATTGGGGTGCATGGGTCTTTTTGAATTATGGTTTTCTCAGGGTATATGCCCAGTAGGGGGATTGCTGGGTCATACTGTAGTGTTATTTTTAGTTTTTTAAGGATCCTTCCTTCTGTTCTCCATAATGGTTGTATCAGTTTACATTCCCACCAGTAGTGTAAGAGGATTCCCTTTTCTCCACACCCTCTCCAGCATTTATTGTTTGTAGATTTTTCTGATGATGGCCATTCTGAGTGAGGTGGTACCTCATTGTAGTTCTGATCTGCATTTCTCTAATAATTAGTGATGTTGAGCATCTTTTCATGTGCCTCTTGGCCATCTATATGTCTTCTTTGGGAAAATGTTTATTTAGGTCTTCCACCCATTTTTTGAGCTATTTGTATATTTTGGAGATTAATCCCATGTTTGGTTTGCAAATAATTTCTCCCATTCTGAGGGTTGTCTCCTCACCTTGTTGATGGTTTTCTTTGCTGTGCAAAAGCTTTTACGTTTCATTAGGTCCCATTTGTTTATTTTCATTTTTATTTTCATTACTCTAGGAGGTGGATCAAAAAAGATCTTGCTGTGATTTATGTCAAAGAGTGTTCTTCCTATGTTTCCTTCTAAGAGTTTTATAGTGTCTGGCCTTACATGTAGGTCTTTAATCCATTTTGAGTTTATTTTTGGGTATGGAGTTAGGGAGTGTTCTAATTTCATTCTTTTACATGTAGCTGTCCAGTTTTCCCAGCACCACTTCTTGAAAAAACTTTTCTCCATTGTATATCCTTGCCTACTTTGTCATAGATTTGGTGAATATAGGTGCATGGGTTTATCTATGGGCTTTCTATCCTGTTCCATTGACCTATATTTCTGTTTTTGTGCCAGTACCAAACGGTCTTGATTACTGTAGCTTTGTAGTATAGTCTCAAGTCAGGGAGCCTGAATCCTCCAGGTCTGTTTTTTTTCTCAAGATAGCTCTGGCTACTGGGGGTCTTTTGTGTTTCCATACAAACTGTAAATTTTTTTGTTCTAATTCTGTGAAAAATGCTTTGGTAATTTGATAGGGACTACACTGAATCTGTAGATTGCTTTGGGTAGTATAGTCATTTTCACAATATTGATTCTTCCAATCCAAGAACATGTATACCTCTCCTTCTGTTTGTGTCATCTTTGATTTCTTTCATCAGTGTCTTATAGTTTTCTGAGTACAGTTCCTTTGCCTCCTTACGTAGGTTACCAGCTTATTTTTCAGCAGAAACTCTGCAGGCCAGAAGGGAGTGGCAGCATATATTTAAAATGATGAAAGGGAAAAACCTACAACCAAAATTACTCTACCCAACAAGGATCTCATTCAGAGTCAATGGAGAAATCAAAAAATTTACAGACAAGCAAAAGATAAGAGAATTCAACACCACCAAAACCAGCTTTACAACAAATGCTAAAGGAACTTCTCTACGCAGGAAACACAACAGAAGAAAAAGACCCACAAAAACAAACCCAAAACAATTAAGAAAATGGTAATAGGAACATACATATCGATAATTACCTTAAATGTAAATTGATTAAATGCTCCAACCAAAAGACACAGACTGGCTGAATGGATACAAAAACAAGACCTGTATATATGCTTTCTACAAGAGACCCACTTCAGACCTAGGGACACATACAAACTGAAAGTGAGTGGATGGAAAAAGATATTCCATGCAAATGGAAATCAAAAGAAAGCTGGAGTAGCAATACTCATATCAGACAAAACAGACTGTAAAATAAAGACTGTGACAAGAGACAAGGAAGAATACTACATAATGATCAAGTGATCAATCCAAGAAAAAGATATAAGAATTATAAATATTTATGCACCCAACATAGGAGCACCTCAATAAATAAGGCAAATTCTAACACCCATAAAAGAGGAAATTGGCAGGAACATGATAATAGTGGGGGATTTTAACACCCCACTCACACCAATGAACAGATAATACAGAAAGAAAATAAACAGGGTAACACAAGCTTTGCATGACACAACAGACTGATAGACTTAATTGATATTTATGGAACATTCCATCCAAAAGAAGCATAATACACTCACTTTCTTCTCAAGTGTACAAGGAACATTCTCCAGGACAGATCACATCTTGGGTCACAAATCAAGCCTCGGTAAATTTAAGAAAAATGAAATCGTATCAAGCATCTTTTCTGACCACAACGCTATGAGATTACACATCAATTACAGGGAAAAAAAACTGTAAAAAACACAAAAACATGGAGGCTAAACAATATGGTACTAAGTAACAACGAGATCACTGAAGAAATCAAAGAGTAAATCAAAAAATACATAGAAACAAATGAAAAGGAAAACACAATGACCCAAAACCTATGGGATGCAGCAAAAGCAGTTTTAAGAGGGAAGATTATAACAATTGAATCCTACCTCAGGAAACAAGAAAAATCTCAAATAAACAACCTAACACTTAAAGCAACTAGAGAAAGAACAAACAAAACCCAAAGTTAGTAGAAGGAAAGAAATCATGAAAATCAAATCAGAAATAAATGAAATAGAAACAAAGAGAACAATAGCAAAAATCAATGAAACTAAAAGGTGGTTTTTTAGAGAATATATACAAAATTGATAAACCTTTAGCCAGACTCATCAAGAAAAAAACAGAGAGGATTCAAGTCAATAAAATTAGAAATGAAAAAGGAGAAATTACAACTGACATTGCAGAAATACAAAGGATCATAAGAGACTACCACAAGCAACTACGTGCCAATAAAATGGTCAACCTGGAAGAAATGGACAAATTCAAATGGACAAACAAAAGTCCAGGACCAGATGGCTTCACAGGTGAATTCTATCAAACATTTAGAGAAGAGCCAACACCCATCCTTCTCAAGCTCTTCCAAAAACTTGCAGAGGCGGGAACACTCCCAAGCTCATTCTACAAGGCCACCATCACCCTGATACCAAAACCAGACAAAGATATCACAGACCAAAAGAAAATTACTGACCAATATCACTAATAAACATAGATTCAAAACTCCTCAACAAAATACTAGCAAACCAAATCCAGCAATACATTAAAAGGATCATACACCAGGATCAAGTGGGATTTATTCCCGGGATGCAAGGATGTTTCAATATTTGCAAGTCAGTCAGTGTGATACACCACATTAACAACCTAAAGAATAAAAGCCATATGATCATCTCAATAGATGCAGAAAAATATTTGACAAAATTCAACACCCATTTATGATAAAAACTCTCCAGAAAGTGGGCATAGAGGGAACCTACCTCAACATGATAAAGGCCATATACAACAAAATCACAGAAAACATCATACTTAAGGGTGAGAAACTGAAAACATTTCCTCAAAGATCAGGAACAAGACAAGGATGTCCACTCTTGCCACTATTATTCAACATAGTTTTGGAAGTCCTAGCCATGGCAATCAGAGAAGAAAAAGAAATAAAAGGAATCCAAATTGGAAAAGAAGAGGTAAAACTGTCACTGTTTGCAGATGACATGATACTATACATAGAAAATCCTAAAGCTGCTTCCAGAAAACTACTAGGGCTCATCAATGAATTTGGTGAAGTTGCAGGATAGAAAATTAATGTAGAGAAATCTCTTGCATTCCTATACACTAACAACAAAACACGAGAAAGAGAATTAAAGAAACAACCCAATTTACCATTGCAACAAAAAGAATAAAATACCTAGAAGAATTATTTTCAATAGCTAAGATATGGAAGCAACCTAAGTGCCCACTGAGAAATGAATGGATAAAGAAAATATACTACTCAGCCATAAAAACGGGGGAAAAAAAGGACGAAATCTTGCCATTTGTGACAACATGGATGGCCCTAGGGGGTATTATGCTTGGTGAAATAAGTCAGACAGAGAAAGACAATAAATGTTTTCATTTATATGTGAAGTCTAAGAAACAAAACAAACAAATATAACAAGATAGAAACAGACTTACAGATACAGAGAACAAACTAGTGGTTCCCACAGGAGAAAGGGGGATGGGGAGGGGCAAAATAGGTGAATGGAATTAAGAGGTACAAA